AAGAGAGAGAGAGCATAATAAGAGTAAGAGAGAGGGCATAAATGTAGGTGCGGTTGTGTGGTGAGGGTTGGGACGGTGGGAGGGCATGAATTTGGGGGGTGTGGCATTTCTCTGCATAAAACATCGTCTGTTCCTTCACTTCTCACTCGCTCGATCCTATCTTTCACTTCTTGCTCGCCGTGAACTCCAGAAACACCATGTCACGTAAGAGACTTTTTATTTTTGTACTGAATTGTTTTACTGCTTAAAATGAACTAATGCATTTCACTGCTGCACTATAAAAGTTTGATGGCTTCAAAATTTGTAGATTGATGGCATTCTTTGAAGGGTAGTTTGGTTTATATATATATATATATATATATATATATATATATATATATATATATATATATATATATGTTATATGCTTTTTGGCCATTAATTGATTAGTAGAAAAGTTTAAGAGTTTGTGTGTTGAGAAGAAGGCAGAGGCAGGAAAAGGAGGCAGTTGATGGTGGATTAAATGACCAATGACAAAATCGAGTAGATCTCTTTCTTTCTGTTGCTTTATTCTGTTTTAATTAAAGGGTATGTTCAGGGTGTTGGCCATAATCCGATTGTGCTTAAATCTGACGTTTTTTTTTTTATCCCTCCATTTCTGAAAACTCCCACTCTTCAAACAGTTAAGGTCCACCCCTTCTCTCCCATCTGCTTGCCTCCAGGGGGCTGTAACCAGTTCTGTTTGTTATATTGTTGCTGGCCATGACATTTCATATATTGTACTTTTGACATCTACACTACTAATAATTTTGGATGTTGTAAACAATACGTTTTGTTTGATTATTATTAATATATTTTTTATTAATGATACACCTGCTTTGTATCACACTAATTTTACAGAAATCCAGCAAGGAATGGCTTTGCTGATTGCAGCCTTTCACAAATACTCAGGAAAGGAGGGAGACAAACACACCCTGACCAAAGGCGAGCTCAAGGATCTGCTCAATACAGAGCTGAGCGACATCCTCGGGGTGAGAGGCACTGCAAAACTGACCAGTTGAAATATAATTTCTCTTTTCATTATGACATTAAAATGCTTAATTTTAAAATTAGGTATTACAACTGCTCCTTTATATATATATATATATATATATATATATATGTAATAACAATTTAAAAAGTTGAATTATTTTGTATTAATCATCATAATAGAAATATTGTGAGATAATACTGATGTAAATATGAGCTGTTTAATTGGCATCATTGTACAGACAGTATCTCTGATCAGACTTTTGTGTTTGTTAAAGAAATCCGCTGACCAAAAAGCTCTGGACAAGATATTTAAGGATCTGGATGCAAATGCAGATGGCACTGTGGACTTTCAGGAGTACATCACCTTGGTCGCCTGCATCACTATGCTTTGCAATGAATTTTTCCAAAAAAAATGATCTTGTCCTTGTCCTTACAGAAAGGGTTTATCTGTAAAGCTATGGTATATCTGAAATCAAGAATAAAGATTTTTAATGTTTTGAATTAAATCTGTATTCTTACAATATGTGGGAGTGAGTGTTCTTATCTGTAAATGTGTTTATGGTGTTGGTGGCTGCAGCTTACATACACATGAAGGTTATTCCTATAAATATATTAGAAATATGCTTCATTTTCATATGGAAACTTTCACCTACCATAGACTCTCCTAACATAATACTGACATACATTGAATTGTCAAATTACACAGATTACAGTAACTCGTACACAGTGCATATATGGCCTGCAGGAAACTTGAAAACAATACCACATCATTACCATATATATACCAAGATGAATTCATAATGTACTCGCTCATTATATACATTTTGCAAATTTTGAACAGAAAAAGTTACATAGTGCTGCTTTAACATATATATTTATTTATTTTTATTTTTTTTTATTTTTTTTGGGGGGGGGGGGTATTTCATAGATTTCCTCTGCTGTAAAAAGCATAAGGTTCACATATTAGTGATCAGACAAGTTGCAAATGCCTATAACTACATTCATCTTTAGGAGCGCATAAAATATAACATTTTCCAGTAAATATCTCCATCTTGTGGTGGCCCTCATAAGGGATCTTAGAACTGATACTTGGGCACTCGGAGCCAAAAAGAATTGACTGTTATCTCAGGATCATAGAATGTATCATTTCAAACTTAATCCCACAGAATTAGTTTTTATAACATTCATAAATGTTGTTAATTTCAATTTCAGGTAACTCAATTTATTTGTGCACTTTTAACCAAATATAAACTCTTACATTATGCTGGCACCAAGATAGATGGAATATGAATGCTTACTCTTTACTTTTACAGAACTGTGCACAAATCTTAGGCATGTTAGATTTGTATTTAGTTATTCATATCTTTAGTATTATTGTGCCAATCGGAAATATGTTTATATTTCCACATTTTTATTTTGCCATTAATTGTATTATTATTATTATTATTCCTTTATTTAACCAGAAAAACATCCCATTACAACATCTCTTCTTCCAGGGAGTCCTGACTAAAAATGGCAGCAACAACAAATAAGCCAATGAGGTTTTTGTACACACAAGAAGTCCAACAATAAACAGGATGGCCCGCACACAGATCTGATCTCACCATCATCGAGTCCATATGGGGACTACATGAAGAGACAAAAACTGAGACAGACTTGCTGTGGTAGCTCCTCCAAGACACTTGAAAAAATCTCAGTATGTTCTCTGAATGTACATTTATAAGGAGCACACAATTAGTTGTATTAGAACCACTTCAAGATTTGAAAATAAAATTTTGTGTGTGAGTAACGACTAATGGAATATAATATTTTCAAGTAAATATCTCCATCTTGTGGGTGCCCTCATAATGATTTTTGGACAGATAGACTTGAATAAGTTAAAGGTGCTCTATGTAGTGGTTGAACTAGGTATTGCAGCCCAAATTCAAAATATTGGAGAGGGTTTTTTTCACCCGGACCCTCCTCCTCAGACTTGACGCACATGCAGGTTGCCAGATTGAAGACACCAACAGGAACTGACCCTTTTCGTTTGGCAGCTTCCATGACTGAAAAGAAATACGCTGTGTTTCCCGCAAACTGGCAACCCGCGGTGCCGAAATACAATTGGGTAAACTGGCAGTGGGCGGGTTACACAGACCAAAACAGAAACAGACATTCAGACACAGAATGCAAATTTTTAAAGAAGAATAACTGACTGTAGCATTGTTTTTCAGATAAACAAGTATGTTAACTTAGCATGTTTCTTAAATATCTGCAAACATATTATGGTATTTTTATGCTTTAGTAGAGTCAAAAACTTACATACTTTAAATAATACTTACACCTTTAAATAATTAACTTTATCTCATGTGTTGTTTTATAGCATACAGGTTGTTTCAAAACATAATATAATCTCAAATTAGGTTAAGAGTGTATTGCTCTAGCTTTGTGTAGATACTACATTTAATCAGAAGACAAAGTAAAATAAAAATAAACAGAAGGAACATCATTTGAATGAATATTTGAAACATCTTTCTGCAATCTGCACCAGTTTCTTAAACATAAAAAAAAATAACCCGTTCCTTTCTGTCCAATGATAACTGATTCTTCTTCCATTTTACAAAACGAGCAACCATGCAAATAGACTGGCTGTCAGTTCCGTCAGTGTTCCGCACTACATTTCCCATGGTGCACTGCTTTGTTGTTACGTGACAGAAGTAACTTTCAAGGCACGCAAACGCAGCAGTGTCTCGTGATGGGGGCGGTTTGGCGTCAGTCTTTCCCATCTGGAGTCTGACGCACTCCGACAGCCAATAAGCTCATGTAGCACTTCGGCGCCCGAGCCCGCTGTGGAGGCAGGATTTCTTCAAATAAAAATGGCAGATGTTGTCGAAGGAGACGGCAGTCGCTCCGCTGGCCCTTCCACAATTCACTCGGCGGCTCGCAACGGCTCCGGCACGAGCTCGGGAACGTGCGCCGGCGGCCTCGTCGCGACCACGGTCACCTCCGGGCCTCGGTTGGTCCGCATCGTCAAGTCGGACTCGGGCTATGGCTTCAATGTCCGCGGGCAAGTAAGCGAAGGAGGGCAACTGAGGAGCATCAACGGCGAACTTTACGCCCCGCTGCAGCACGTCAGCGCCGTGTTACCGGGCGGCGCGGCAGACCGAGCCGGAATCTCAAAGGGCGACCGTATTCTTGAAGTGTAAGTTTATATGTAACAGTTAAATCAATGATCTATGGACTACATCAAGACGCACTTAGCAGCGCTGCCCACCTTCACCGTCATCCCTTGTTAGACAGAAAGCGGCCAGTTTGCTCTAAAACACTACAGGCGAAAGTCACCAGTGTGTTTTTAAGGCATTTGAAGACTTAGTAAAATGCCGTAATCCAGTGCAAGTGCTAACGTGGCTAATAAGTGGGTTGATGTATATTGGAGTGAGAAGCTGAAAGTTAGCCAGCCTTGTCACTGCAGCACTGCAAACCATCCTTTCAGGCACGGAAAAATACGGTATATTAATAAAAATGTACATCATTTAAATGCCATACAGGTGTAATAGAGCTTCCCTAATTAGACACATTTGTCCATGAGTGCAGAAAGCACTTGTTTACAGCAGGATTTGATATTCTGAGCACACCCAGGCTTGTCTTTCAGACATCTAGTATTACAATCATCCCATATCCTTTAGGTTTTAGGAAATATCTCCTTTTTTGTCTTGATAAATTTAAAGCCATCTGACATAACTGACTTTATTTTCCTGCTTTTTCAGCCTCCCTGATCTTAAAGAGATAGTTACCCAAAAATAAAAATTATGGCATCCTCTGCCAACCCTCATGTTTTTCCAAACCTGACTCTTTTCTTTTTTTCTTGGACCGCAAAAGGGCATCCTAGCCAGGATGACATCCTCAATCAATTAACTTTCCTTGTATGGAAAAAAAAGAAGTGAATAGAGACTGTTAGTCTAACGTCTTCTATTACGTTCTGTAGAAGTAAGTCATACATTTGGAACAACATGAGGGTGAGTAAATTATGACATGCTTTTCCTTTCAGGCTGAACTATCCCTTTAACGCCTCTGTGCATACAGTGTCTCTGCCTGTCATATGCATCGGTGTATGTCTCTGTGTGAATGGCTGCTTCATTTCCACTAGATAAAGGAGGTTTGTGTTTGGACGCGTTTGTCTTCATTCCAGATTCTGGTCACATACAGCACCGTGAACAGACAAGCTTTCTCATTCCTTCTCATCTTGCTGTAGCTGACTGCGCACTGTTCTGTGCAATACTGGGTTGAAATCGAAATAAACCACCCTGGACAATTGTGTAAAAAAAATAGCACACACCTTCTGAATGATCGGCACGTCCATGGTGATCTCAAACATTTATAGCACGATTATGTAACCTACATTAGGGGATATCTGTTAGGAGGAACGTCTGGGTTTTATTGGGTATGTGAAGTCATACATTTGGAACAACATGAGGGTGAGTAAATTATGACATGCTTTTCCTTTCAGGCTGAACTATCCCTTTAACGCCTCTGTGCATACAGTGTCTCTGCCTGTCATATGCATCGGTGTATGTCTCTGTGTGAATGGCTGCTTCATTTCCACTAGATAAAGGAGGTTTGTGTTTGGACGCGTTTGTCTTCATTCCAGATTCTGGTCACATACAGCACCGTGAACAGACAAGCTTTCTCATTCCTTCTCATCTTGCTGTAGCTGACTGCGCACTGTTCTGTGCAATACTGGGTTGAAATCGAAATAAACCACCCTGGACAATTGTGTAAAAAAAAAGCACACACCTTCTGAATGATCGGCACGTCCATGGTGATCTCAAACATTTATAGCACGATTATGTAACCTACATTAGGGGATATCTGTTAGGAGGAACGTCTGGGTTTTATTGGGTATGTAATTTATTGCTTGTTGATGTTATTGTGTCTCAATTCTTCACTGGAGCGGTTCCGATGGCATGTTAATATTCACAGGGCACCTCATTGATGCTGGCGTTGGTTGCCATGGTGACAAGTGTTTTCCGTGGCACAGAAGGCGACAGAGCTCAGCATCAGCATCAATCAGTGTAAACTCAGGACAGAGAGGTGGGCAAAGCAGGGCTCATCCGTCTTATAACCAACCCTTTCTGTTTTGTGGATGCTCCTAAAAACATTCTGCATGCACAGTTGAAATCAAATGCAACGTTTTGCGAAGCACCCTCAGAGACGACTGAAAGGGCAGTTTAAAAAGATCAGTTTTCACATTAATTGTTTTCTTCATTTGATCAATCCTGATATTGATTTTTAAAGTGTAAAGAGCAAACCTTTACATTATGCTTATTTTCAGTGGCTGCATGAAAACTTACAGGGCTGCAGGGTTCCCTGCGTTCTGCTGATCTAATTTACGCAACTGCACAGTTGGGTCTTGTTATATTTTTGAATTAATAGTTTTGTAATGTGTATATAGTTTGCCATCTGCATTTAATGGGATGCAACCAAACAACTGTGAGCCTCAAAATATTGGCAAACGATATATTTATATTGAATCGTCCTTGTATGCTACTGTGTATAAACAAACATACTAAATCACCAGTGCAGCTGATTCACAAGCAAATGACTCTTTTCACTCGTTTTGGTGAATAAACATACACATTGACCAATATAGCCTTATTCTCTTATGAGCCAATTCTTTTATTTAGTAGTTTAGAAAGGCAGGTTACCCATTTGAATCAATTAGGAGCTCTATTCTGCATAATTTTTAAGCATTAAGATGCGAAAGGTTTAGCAAAATTTCGTTGGCCAAATAAGTCCAATGTCTGTTGTCAGGAATAGTAGTGATGTAGGAAGTCTTTCAAACCAAGCAGCATTCTGTCGGTTAATGTGGCAAATCTGCGTGACCAACCTTTACGTGTTGTGAAATTTCCATGGGGAAATCTTTATCCCTCACACAAAATTCCCAAATATTTGGATTTCTATTGAAATGACTGGATCTTGCCTGCTAAAATTCGCTGAACAACAAATTTTCCTAAAAAATACCTGACTGAATCAAATCAAATTGATTTGAGTGATTTGGAATGTAATCTGGAAGTCTGTATCGATACACAACACTTTAAAGAAGACCTATCCAGCCCCTTTTTACAAGATGTAATATAAGTCTCAGTTGTCTCCAGAATGTGTGAAGTTCAGCTCAAAATAGCCCACAGATTATTTTTTATATATCATTTTGAAAATGCCTATTTTGAGTGGAAGCAGAAACACGTGCATGTCTCTTTAAATGCAAATGAGCTGCTGATCCCCGCCCCCTTTTCCACAATAGGGCTGTGCCTTTACAGTTCATACCTCAGATGCTCTACTAAAAAAACATCTGTTTAGTTTTCATCATCATGTCTCATGTTGAAATCATGCATTTTAAACCATATTAGTTTAAACTTCTTAAATACAGTTTTCTGAGAGCACACATCCGAAGCGAACACAGAAAGTGGCAGCCACGGCATGTGAGTACTAAACTAAGTTCTCGTTCATGTCTTATTGTGCTTAAACTGTCAAATACACACAAGTTTGTTAAAAATACAAAAACACAAAGAGCAAATACAAAAACGAGATACAAAAACAGTCGTTATGTCTGTGAAGGTAAACGGCTGGGAAAGAAATTGAATGTTTATATTAGATCTGTGTGGCAGCAGCGTAATATACGGTAAATAAATCAATAAATCCACAGCTCTCTTGTCTTCTCTGAGCCTGGGACTCTAAATAGTATTCTGTGCCTGTCAGTGCAGTCAAAGACAGAACAGTTAGCATAATCTGTTCAAACTTTCGCCATGGCGTTAGAATTGGTACACCGTTGTCGCTTGTGAAAACACAATGGCGGTGACATGGGTGAATACTTGCAGATTAAGGGGTGTAAATATTATTATATGATCCCCTTTCTACATCACGGGGGGAGAGAAATCTGACGCGCTCATTTTTTCGCAAGCTTGTAGAGAAAGGCTTACCAAATTTTTTTTCATGTTTTCTGTGTTGGTAGATGCACTGGGGACCCGAATATAGCAATTAAACATGGGAAAAGTTTTTTTTATCACCTTTAAATCGCTCTGTTCTCTGTGCTCCCTTGTTACCATGTTATAAATGGGTAATTGTACTGTAGATTAGGTACATCTGTAATTGTACCTATGTCATGACAAATATATAATGGAGGGCTCAGCTTTCAGAAAGTGGAAGTACATTTGGGGCAGTCTGGAAGCAAGTCATCCTGCTCGGTCTCTTGTGTTTAATGGAGTGTCAAAAGGAGGGAGATGGTGTGAGGACACATTGTTGGTTGGCACTACAGTCAAAATATTTCCATGGGTAACAAAACTCTGATTCAGTTGCGTGATATTTACCACTCTTTTATGTACAGTATGGAGGAAGAGTGAACATTTAGTTGATTCAGCTTTTCTTTGAGTGGCTGATTGAGAGAGTCTTTGAGTGTATACGAGAAACACACGAGGGAGAGAGTATGTCAATGTGCTGCTGATTGCTGTTGAGTAACTCTTAAGTACTTTGTTCCAGTGATCTTACTGCAACGTATTTGCTGGAAACTCTTCAGTTCACATTGGACTGCATGTTCAGACAGCATTTGTTTTCTGCCCTGAATAATCTCCAAAACCCACATAACAGCCAGAATGAAATGTATTAACTATATAAAACGCGTACATATACCACATCCATCACACATTTTGAGGTCACACTCAGGTTTTCAGAGCAGGAAATGTGATACTTTGAGTTCAGTCATCTTCTGAGAACTCTCTGCTGTAATAAAACCTGACTTTTAGTAGAGCTCAAAAATAAGGATTTTTTTCTACTAATCAGCTGGGCCATTGTTTGGATGGATGGATATTTTATTTTTACCTATGCATTTTTATATTTGAGATGTGTGTATATATATATATATATATATATATATATATATATTTTAGGAGATAGATGATAATTATTTGATAAATGCAAATTTGGTTTGTAGTTTTCAACCTTTTCTTACTGATGCTTTCAAGATGATCACTAGTCGTCATTTTTGCAAAATTGGAAAGAGGAAAAACAAATCTATGTTAACAAGTCACAGCAATAAAACCAAATATTTCAATCTGCAAGGCAAAAAAAAATTTGTACAGGATCAATGAATGTAAAATTTTCAGAAGTATGTCAGCACTGGCTTGGAAGGGCAATGAGTGGCTGATTGAGAGAGTCTTTGAGTGTATACGAGAAACACATGAGGGAGAGAGTATGTCAATGTGCTGCTGATTGCTGTTGAGTAACTCTTAAGTACTTTGTTCCAGTGATCTTACTGCAACGTATTTGCTGGAAACTCTTCAGTTCACATTGGACTGCATGTTCAGACAGCATTTGTTTTCTGCCCTGAATAATCTCCAAAACCCACATAACAGCCAGAATGAAATGTATTAACTATATAAAACGCGTACATATACCACATCCATCACACATTTTGAGGTCACACTCAGGTTTTCAGAGCAGGAAATGTGATACTTTGAGTTCAGTCATCTTCTGAGAACTCTCTGCTGTAATAAAACCTGACTTTTAGTAGAGCTCAAAAATAAGGATTTTTTTCTACTAATCAGCTGGGCCATTGTTTGGATGGATGGATATTTTATTTTTACCTATGCATTTTTATATTTGAGATATATATGTGTGTGTGTGTGTATGTGTATATATATATATATTTTAGGAGATGGATGATAATTATTTGATAAATGCACATTTGGTTTGTAGTTTTCAACCTTTTCTTACTGATGCTTTCAAGATGATCACTAGTCGTCATTTTTGCAAAATTGGAAAGAGGAAAAACAAATCTATGTTAACAAGTCACAGCAATAAAACCAAATATTTCAATCTGCAAGGCAAAAAAAAATTTGTACAGGATCAATGAATGTAAAATTTTCAGAAGTACGTCAGCACTGGCTTGATGTGCTAATTATAGTACATTTTGGGGAAAATAATCACTTAAAATATGAGTGTAAGGAAGAGAGAGAGTTACCATAAACCGTATAAAACTGTACAAAAAGAACAATGTTGTTTTTTACGTAATCCAAGCAACTTTGCTTTCGCCTGTCTGTGATTGCCTGTGATTTTGTGTAACAGATGTAGCTACACGCTGCTTCGTTGTCTTTTTTTTTGTTTTATAACGGGTGACAACAGGTGTTAAACTGCAATACTGCCACCTGCTATGTTGGAGTGTGAACCAGGGGTGCGATAATGACAAAAATGTTGTCTCCATTTTCTTTCTGGAATTTTTTCGATAACTATAGTTGTACAGTATTTTGCTGAACATGTTATTGTGCTGGTACCTTGGCAGGTTTAGGACTGCTGTGGACAGCTGACTCCCAAAACTTTTGATATTCTGACATGTAGTTCGTTTGCAGAAATAACAGAAATTAGTTTTTATGTTTAAATTAGGTGTGGACGATATGGCAAAAATATCATATCACAACGTTTTTTTTTTTATAGAAATATCACGATTCACGTTTTTGTCATGATTCTTTGTCATGTTGGTTTTACTATTTTATAGTACAGCCAAACTAATTTCCCTATTATAAAAACAAAGCCTTTCAAGGTAACAAAATATTTAAAAAAGAATGGTGGATATTTAGTCCAAAGTGGGTGAAGATAAAAATCTTTGTCATTATTTTATCTTTTGTTATTAAAAAATAATAACAAAGATACACATAATATATACAAATAAAACAAACAGTGTTTTATTTTCAGGTACAATTTAGCAGGAGCATTCAAGAAATTGAATGAAGAAAATATCGCAATAAAACACTATATAGATTGATTCCTATTAAAGCAACTGTATTAAAGTTTTTCAGTCAAAAGTATTGAGTGATTTTTCTCTTTGTGTTTTGTTGTTTTATTAACATGGATCACCCAAAAATAAAAATGATGTAATCTGTCTGTCTGTTCTGTCATATTGTTTTATTTTTATACCATCATTTACTCACTAAAAAGTTGTTTTAAACCTGAATGATTTTCTTTCTTCTGCTGAACATAAAAGTTATTTTGAAGAACGTGGAACACCAAACAGTTGCTGGTCCACAGCGGCTTTCATAGTATTTTTTCCTACTATCAGATGTGGACCGGCAAATGTTTTGTTACCCATCTTCAAAATATCTTCTTTTGTATTCAGCACAAGAAAGAAATTAATACAGGTCTGGGACAGCATGTGAGTGAGTAAAAAATGACAGAATTATAAGTTTTGGGTGAACTATCCCTTCAATAACTATCGGCAGCATGTTCAGTACTGTCCTTTTAAGACCTGCACGCATCTAATATACAGGCACGTATCCGTTTTTCTCTCAACTGTTTACTTTCATTTTAGACATAACCAACTGAGTCTATATGTAAACCTTGTGTGTTTTGACGGTATTCGCGCAAAAGGTAACTTAGTTCAGAAATCAGGCGCTGTTTGACAGGCTTTTTAGTGCGCGCGCTTCAGATGTTTGCACTGAGAAAAAGCGCACGTCTGACCAGCACGCGAATGAAAGGTTTAACCGGCAAGGCTTTAAAGCACATAAGCAAATAATGTACTTTTGTGATTGCGAATAAGTGCAGTGTCCTGTGAGAGTAACTCTACCGCTGAGTTAACACTGATGCGAAATGTATGTCGCGTTGTACAGTATATTGATACGGTGGCGCCAGAACTGCAGCTGATAGAATGTGCGCTGTATCACGATACTACGATATTTCTTCAAAAGCAGATCTTGGAGACATTTTTATCGTCCACGATCAAAAATCGTCATATCGCACACCCCTAGTTTAAATAGATTTTTACCTTTTATGGGCATTTTTTCCCATTAAAAAGGCCAATTTTTTCTAACCTAATAAAATGTATATATCATCTTTTGTGTCAAATTCTTCAATTTAAGTGTTTAGTAAGACACAATTGGGCTGTTACCAATCAAAATAAATCATTATCAACAATAATAACCTGGTATTTGGTATTTTGGTATACTGGTATTTGGGGAAAAAATACCAGGGAAAATATACTTTTAAATATAAACCTAAAATTGCTAGTAGGTGGCGGCAAGTCACTGCATGAGTGAGTCATTGAGTCATTCATTCAACATATTCGTTCAAACGGCTGATTGATTCAGTAACAAAACACTATTGTGTGTTGCTCAGGGATGCAAAACAGTTCTACTGTGGCTTTGTTTGAAACTATTTTCGCTGATGAAATAGAGCAGAAACGGGATATTTTTTCTAAAAATCAGTTAATATTAACTTCTATTTATTGGACTGTTTTATAAAATCAATATATTTGCAGTCGCGCTGATATTTGGAGAAAAACAGCAATCTACGTGCGTCTTTCCTACTGATATTTATCCACAGTATACAGTATTCCCATTAGGGTCATCTGATCTTAAAAAAAGTAGGATGAAGGATGGCAGGGCTGTTTGATATGTTTTGGTTGCACTTATAGGGTGATTGCAAGCAAAAATGAACCATGGGCAATGTCTGTTGCCGTTCATATTTAATCACATGACCACTCTGTCTGGGCATGCAGGGTTTGTCCTCTGGGACAGGGTAGCCAGGCCTAATTTTAATCATATTAGGATGATAAAAATGTTTCATGCCCAGCTTTATTCTATTCCATTTATGTGTCGTTGACTAACAGAGCGCTGCAGTGATTACATTTTTTTGTAGGCCAACCCAGAAGTTAGCATCACCCTGGTTCCCTCAACAAAAACCCAGTAGGATTTTTCCATTGACTTTTGGATTTTTACAGAAAATAAACACAGTAACCAACAAAAGTTTATGAACCTTCTTCATCATGATGATCTTCGCAAATTAACATTTTAATGAATTTTAAAGCCTAAATATAATCAGCAGCACACATTAAAGACAGCTAAACGAGTACATGTAAATATACTTGAACAAAGAGGAGACTGTAGACCTGCAAAAATCTGCTTTAGCTTGATTATAACTGCAGCATTGCATTCTCACTTGACTCAGAAAATGATTGAATCATGGACAATGGCCCCCTATCAAAGAATGTGACTGTCACAAAGACCCATCAATGACAAAGTGTCATAGGTCAGTTAGCATTGAAAATGTGTCTTTACCGCACAGTATTAAAGACAAACTGATGTGCTGCTGCCACAGATAAGATATCATACATCACAGTTCATTCAACTAAAGGCTATTCAGCTCAATTTAGTTAATCTGTTTTTATGTTCACCTTGAATGCAGTCTATTTATTCTATAAGTGTAAAAATTCACTATTATATGATGCTATGGGAAACACAAAGGGTCAGTCAATTATTAAGTGACCCTTAAAGGGATAGTTGCTGTTCCTGAAACCACGCCTTGTTTCTTTGCGTGCACATTTGGGCGGGATTATGCTAATATTTCAACATCGTGACGTAGATATGTGGGGGCGTGTTAGAATGAGCCAGTTTAGGTAGGCGTGGCTGACTCTTAACTTTTATAAAGAATATCTCTTTGGATTTGAGACTTTAGTCTTTGCAACTTTATAGATCTTCTTTATGCACCAAGAGCTTGTAACACTCCAAAGAGAAAGGAAAACTTGAAATCACATCATATGACCCCTTTAAGATATTTTTGATGCATTCTGAGAGCTCTCTGGCCCTCCATAGACAGCAAGGATCCCAACATGATCAAGGCCCAGAAACGTAGCAAGGAGATCGTTAAAATAATCCATGTGACATCAGTGGTTCAACCATCATTTTACGAAGCTACAAGAATACATTTTGTGCGCAAAGAAAACAAAAATAATGACTTAATTCAACAATTAGTCTCCTCCGTGTCACCCTATAACGCCATTTTGGAAAGTATTACATAAACAACGTACATACGCGAATACGTTGTTTATGTTCAGATCAAAGCATAAACAGTGTATCTGCGTACGGTGCTGCTGACACAGAACAGATTACGTTGTTTACGTATGTGATACTCTCCAAAATGGCGCTATAGGGTGACGCGGAGGAAACGAATCGTTGAATAAAGTGGTTTTGTTTTCTGTTTTCTTTTCTTTCTTTTCAAAACAGATTGATTCTATGAAATTGTGTTTAACCAGTGTGAAGAAGCAGCTTTTGAAAATGTGGCAGTCATAATGTTATTTGTATATATATATATATATATATATATATATATATATATATTTGCATGTTCCATTGCTCGGCTGTGTGTGTGAGTCTGTACCTGTCAGGGTGCTTCTCAAGCACGCCTGAAGCGCTGCTCTGTCTGTTTGGACTGTATTTTTAGGTCTCTCTCTCATTCCTCCTAGAATTATAATGGTGTTTCTGATGTGGAGCTAAGGATAGCCATGCCAGACAAAACTACAGTTACCATCCGGGTGCGAAAGAATTGCACAACAGACCAGGTCTACCAGGTACTGCATTTAATCATGCAACATTTTAGATCAAACGCAGCACTTTCCAAAGCCACGAATTGCATTCTTCCCCCTGTCTTTTTCAGGCTGTTGTAACACAAATTGGGGTGGACAGCATTACTGCAAGTTATTTTGCCCTGTTTGAAGTCATTAACCACTCCTTTGGTAAGAGTTTCTCTTTTTCTAGTATGACAGTATTTTTATGCCCGTGTTGGTTCAGATTTCTTAATTTTGGTTTATACAAATATTTAAACACCATATTTTTAATCTGATTGTTGATATATTTTAAAGAGCACATTGTACCACACTTTTTTTTTTCAGATGTTAAAGGGATAGTTTCCACAAAATGAAAATTCAGTCATCATTTACCAATCCATAGTAGTTTCAAACCTGTATTGCTGAACACAGAAGAAGATATTTTGAAGTATGTTTGTAACCAAATCATTTCTGGTCCCGTCGACTTCCATACAATTTTTAATTCATACTGCGTAAGTCAATGGGATCCAGGCTTTGTTACACACATCTTTTGTGTTCAGCAGAAGAAAGAAATTCATACAGCTTTGGAACAACTAGAATGTGAGTAAATGATGACAGAATTTTCACTTTGGTGTAAACCGTTCCTTTAATATTCATATTTTGAGATGTATCCATAGACATGAGATGACATTTTACCCCTAGTAGAACAACTTCTGTCATTGAGTGAAATTATTGGGTATGTTGTTGTTTTTCTTCATATGATTAGGATTTTTATGGAAACCAATTTTTCAAAATTCTCAGAATTGCAATTTTTTATTCCCCATAATTTAAATGGTTCTTCTTTTAAACTTTTAGAATCTCACAATTACCTTTTTATTGTGAGGTAAAATTCTTACACTTGTCAACACTACACTTGTTTTTATTTTAAATCTAACACTTTTAAATCTTTACACTTGAAATCAAATACAAAATCACACAAGTGTACAGCACTTTCTCAAGTCTGTGTGTATGGAGTTTGAGAGCTCATGGGCTGTTGAATTATACAAGCCGCTTTGTTTACTAATCTTCTTATCCAGGCACTTAATGAGTGGTTGTTGTGTGCGTTTGTGTGTGTGTGTAGCAGTAATTCATCCTAACATATATTTAAAGCCCCCTCCACATTTTATGATTTGATGTGTCTCACAAAGTAGTAGTAGAATCTGTTTATCCCAAATTATCCTGTGCTGTGTATTTAGAATTTTATTTAAAATTTCATAGAACAGCTTTGAACATGTTTAACCTGTATGTCTCAACTCATGTTTAATTAGAAGAGTCTTGTTATCAAAGTGAGCTCAATATTTGTGGATACAAACGTTGGTTCTCATGGCATGTGAATGCATTTTGTATTCCACATATATATATATATATATATATATATATATATACACAACTGTTCAAAAGTTGTACGATTTCTGTAATGTTTGTGAAAGACGTCTCTAATACTCACCAGGGCTACGTTTAGTTGATCAAAAAATACAGTTAAAACAGTAATGTGAAATATTATTGCAATTTAAAATAAATAATTTTAATATGTACACTACCAGTCAAAAGTTTTTGAACAGTAAGATTTTTTGCTTTTTTTAAGTCTCTTCTGCTCACCAAGCCTGCATTATTTGATCCAAAGTACAGCAAAAAGTACAATAAAATTGTAAATTATATTTAATATTTAAAACAACTGTTTTCTATTTAAAATGTAATTTATTTCTGTGATTTTAAAGATGAATTTTTAGCATCAGTACTCCAGTCACATGGTCCTTCAGAATTAGGGATGTTCATTTAGGTTATTTTTCCTAACCGACAACCGACACTCGTTAACAGATTATTAACCGTTAACCGACAAGATTATTTTAAATTAGAATTGAATTTGATTAGAAAGGATAAGTGTCTGTGAACCGTTAAAAATACTAACATTTGTTTCCCGGGAATTAATTTTACATGCGCAAAAAGCAGCAAACAACAGAACATGAGGATTCACATGGTCTTCATAAAGCTAGGCTATAT